CTGGGTTCCAGTCTTCTTCAGTGCCCAGTCCAGGATCCATAGGAGGCAACATGAAAACCCAAACAACTCACTGCAGTATAATTCCTTGAATACCAAGGCCTCTGATCAGATCGACGTCTTCTCTACATCCTTCACCATCTCTTTTGTTGGTTTTTATATTTTTAGTGATACTGAGCAGAAGGAATAAGCAGAAAGGTTTCTACCTCATCATGTCCGGAACAGGAAGCCAGCAATTCTCTTTCCCATTATACAAATGTGTAATTCTTTGACTTTAATTAAAGAAGTTGATGTTCCCTTTATAAAATAAATGAAAATCAATAAGCAATGACTAGAGATCCAATAGCCACTGCAGTATGTTTTATGTAACAAGAAAGTTTCTTTGTTTCCATTAGCTATCCATCTGTCCAGGATTTATTCAGGAAGAAAAACATTTTTTAACACCAGAATACATAAAGCAGATATATTTGTTAATGCTTCAGGTGTGCTTTCATGTGGGATAAAAGGAAAGCCTTAGAATTGTAATTCTCACTTTAAGTGATTAAAATTTCTTCAATGGGGGCGCGTGGGTGGCTCAGTTGGTTAAGCATCTGCCTTTGGCTCAGGTCATGATCCCAGGTCTTTCTGCTCAGCGGGGAGTCTGCTTCTCCCTCTGCCTCTCCCTCTGGGCTTCTGCTCTCTCTCTCTCTCTCTCACTGACTCTCTCTCTATCTCTAATAAATAAATATTTATTTATTTGTCAGAGAGAGAGAGGGAGAGCACAAGCAGGGGAAGTGTCAGGCAGAGGGAGAAGCAAGCTCCCTGCTGAGCAAGGAGCACAATGCGAGACTCGATCCCAGGACCCCGGGACCATGACCTGAGCTGAAGGCGGATGCTTAACCGACTAATCCACCCAGGCGTCCCAAATAAAATCTTTAAAAAATAAAATTTCTTCAGTGAATCCTTTCTGTCAACAGAAATCACAAGTCTTGATATTGAACATTGTGCTATATTTTTATTTGCTTTATTTTAACCTGTTTTTCTTTGGTTTTTCAATAAATCAAATAAATATTTTTTTTTTAGATTCTAAAGGAAAATGTGGGCCTCCTCCACCTATTGATAATGGAGACATTACCTCATTCCCATCATCAACATATGCTCCGGGATCATCAGTAGAGTACAAATGCCAGTCCTTCTATGTACTTCAGGGACAGAGGACCATAAGATGTAGAAATGGACAGTGGTCACCACCACCAAAATGCTTAGGTAAATATTTCAATATTCTCATGGATCCTGGGAAAATCAGTATAATAGATGTTTTGCTTATTAATAGAATGTTTATGGATTAACAAACATTTGTTGAATGTTGACTACCAAATACTAATGTGTGAAGAAAAAAAAGCTGGGAAAAAAACTCTTGTTCTAGCAAAATATCCTTTAATGAAAGGACTTGATTTCTTCATGTTAAAATTGACATTATGAATCTTTGATTATAACATTTAATTATCGCACCTTAAACATAGTACCTCATTTTACGTCATTAATCATTTAAAGTGATTTAAATCGACACGATGGGTTTTCAGTGAATTGGTTTGGAAAAGGTTTTGAAAATGAAGCCCTGGACCAGTATAGATGATTCTACTTGAAAGTCTAAAATTCTGGGGCGCCTGGGTGGTTAAGCATCTGCTTTCTGCTCAGTTCATGATCCCAGGGTCCTGGGATGGAGCACCACATTGGGCTCCCTGCTCAGCAGAGAGTCTGCTTCTCTCTCTCTCTCTGCTGCTCCCCCTGCTTGTGTGCTCACTCTCTCTCTCTCTCTCT